TCAAATTATATTTGAATTTATAATGTACAAAATGTAATTAAATCAATGTAATAACATCATTAATATGTATATCCAGTATACATATTACATAATACTATCAATATTATATTGCTTTGAACCATCGCAATAATTAAGTCAGATAGTATTTGACTTCTCTATTACAGACAGACTAAATAAAATTGTTTCGGTATTAAAATATTCTAATTCCACAGTTAAGAATATTTAAGAGCATTCATATATTTCAAAAATATCTATTAGAATATGTGGAATTGAAATGATATTAAAACGCGGAGTACAAGAAGACCTAGCCTAACTAAATGAAATGAAACAATAAAAATGTTACTACTCATGGGTATGTATAATCATACCCATGGTCACTATGCTTGCCAAGCACGTATACAACTAGTAACCCGTGTCGATTCGGACCATTCGTCCTACGACATGATTGGGCACTAGAGGAACCATAAAACATGCGACTCACCGTTCGCAGATATACTCTTCTTCCGACAGTCAAGTAGGAAAATGGACAACACCAGGTAGGAGGCTGCCTTGTAGGAGAACACGGAAGTCGTGAAGAAAATTCATCTGTAACAAAACAAAAAAGAATTACGGTTAATTTTGCAAATTATCAATTTTTATTCTAATAAAATTATATATGAAATTGAATTTTATAAAATATTAGCAATAGCAATTAAAAAGAACTCTCAATTATCAAGTATTGAAATTGTAAATTATTCTATTTTAATAAAAGGCAATTAAGTGACGTACCAAGACGGAAGTCGTGAAGAAAGCCATCATCAGGTATCCAGGAACTCGGCAAAATCAAAAAATTCATCTGTAACAAAACAAAAAAGAATTACGGTTAATTTTGAAAATTATCAATTCTTATTGTAATAAAATTATATATAAATTTGGATTTTATCAAATATTAACAATGAAAAATAACTCTCAACTATCAAGTGTTGAAATTGTAAATTATTCTACTTGAATTAAAATTAATTAAATAAAGTAATAAGATACTTACACTCTTTCCTTATGGAGCAACGCCCAAGACTCCTCTTCAGTGGTGCACTGACTCTAATACCGGATATATCGAGCAATTAGAAAAAAAAATTAAAAATAAAAATATAGATATGAAATACTAATAACGCGACCGTGAATAATTTCCGGCGAACAATTGTAGTGATTCTACTTTCACGATGAAAAAGGAAAAAGCAGAGCCGCGATACTCTAGAAAATATTTTATAATACGCAGCAAACACTGACTCTACTATCGCGTGATTCCTAATCGTACAAACGCAACTCTATTCAGGACCATTTCACCCTTGTCAAAATCAAAACATTGGAAGTACGTGCAAACACTGACTCTACCGACCGCCTTGCGCGCGGCCACAACAATTCCTAGAAGAAAAGCTTAGTGAGCAGGGATGGGGCTGGATGGAAATATACAAAAAAAAAGAACAAAACATTCTTCCTATTAAGCATTCGTTAAAGAAATACTGTTATGTGTAAATGGAAATATCAGTGTTCGTGAAATATTTTCAACGAACACGAATATTATTTGAGTTGAATATGGATCCTAGATAACATCGTAATAACGAAATGTATTAAATAATTGTTGATAATTATTCCAATGAATATTACAAGGATAAAAAATCATTGTTAAATACATATAATAAACTATTTTATTAAAGCAGTGGATTTTTGTTGTTAAGATTGTAAGCATATTAAAAATTGTAGGAAATTCTATTACGTAGTAATTTATAAATTATCTAATTCTTTTCAATAAGCAAAATCCAATAATTAATCATGCTTAAACAGCATGTGATTTAAAAACGTGATTCCATTTTAATTTTAACTTACATCGAAAACTGGACATTATAATATAATTACTACGATTTAACAAAAATAGATTGTTTAAAATAATTAATAATTGCAGAAGAGAAGCAATCATTTGCAGTAGAATACGAATCATTTCAATTTTGTTCTAGTTTAAAACAAATGTATTAAAATACTGGACGAAATTATTTAATAAAATGAAAAATTAATTATTCTTTTTCTATGAATTGGTTAAAGAAAAAAAATGTCTCTAATCTTTTCTTTCTTGACTTTGGTAGCAAGTAATTATCAAAAATGCTTACAATTAACAACGACTCAATAAAAGACAAGTAATAATAAATGTTAATAATTGATTAGAATAAATTAAAACAATAAATTCTTACGAAATTCTATTTCAAACCCATATCATGGCGTCCTTTCAATATCCATCAAATATCTGTAACAAAAAAGAAATACCAATTTATGTACATAAAATGTAATCAACAATAATAAACGATCGAACTATAATTTATGCAAAATATTTTAATAGATACAATGCTCACTTATTACTTATACGGAAGGATGCTCTCAACACGTCTTGTCACTTCGACGTTCGTGAGAGAAATGGCGAGACCTTCCTTCCCGACGAAGACCGGTCGGCACCGCTTCGGTATTATTCGGTAATGTTCGTCCCCAGCCGAACAGAAGGCGGTAGACGAACAGGTCTCATAATATTACGATGCTCAAGAAATAACGTTATTAAATATCAAACAGTAAATTGTATGAAAGAATATTAAAAACGTTCACTATTGGTTAGGAAATTAACGATATAAAAGGGAAAGTAATTCAAATTCTGCTGTTCCAACCTCATTGTACAATCGCGGCAAGAGCACAAACTTTCAACTCTTGTATTTTTAAAGATAACCTCGAATTAATATCAAAAATCAGGAATCTAGACTTCTCTCTAGCTATTCTTTCTATTTTTTGTACTTTTAACATCCGAAAGATAATTTAATTTAATGTTTGAAGATAATTTAATCTTACCTGTTGCAGACACGTGCAAGACGAACGAAGCTTCGAAGAGGAATGCTGTACTGCGTCACAAATCGACGCACTCGCTCACACAGCGACGTGTCTCATTGGTCGAAATGAAAGGATGCCGAATGAAACAACCAATCACAGCCATTGGTAGAAGTTTCGAAACTGTAATGCTAATCGTAATGGAATCGTTCATACAATAAATATCAGCGAAAAAATCGAATAATGTACTTTTTTAACAACAACCGTCTTGTATTATATTTTATATTATTGTAATTATGTAATAAATAAAGGGAAATATTGCTTTAATAACACTTTCCTATGGCGTGATTTTGATACGAAATATTTAAGAACATATTATTTCAGATTTAAATTTTGACACTTATGTGCAATGTACGCATAAGCGAAATGTTAATATGTATAAAAATTATAATCAATCGATTCGGTCGACGCACACATATTCACATATACGAGCTGTGAATGAGCACGCGGTCGAGCCCAGAAAACGAACGAACTGCGCCCTACAGAAAAAACGAAGAACTAAATTTGTGGTCTGTTTTACCTTTTTGACGTCTTTCGCGAATGAACAATCAACGAAATCGTAGTTCTCAAATTACTTCTTCCTGGAGACTTATATATTATCCCTTAGGTGCTCGTTTTATTCTATCCGACCCAAAGAATGGTAGTCTGGTACCCATTTGGACAAACTATTGGCAGAAATGTTTATATTACGAATAAATTGATGCAGATGAGTCCGATCCGCCATTTTCTTGACGGTTGATACACATAAATTTCAATATTTTATAATTTTTTGACGATTTGGATAATATAAGGACCAGAGTACCATTCTTTAGGGCCACCTGGACATGTCCCTCAAATCTTTTTGCATTTTGTTTAGAAATGACGATGTAATTTGAGAACTCGCGTCTAGGGATTTTTCTAGGGACTGTCGATAAAGTTTTCGACGCTCGCATCACCTTAAAGAATTTAAAAAATAAAATTATATTTATATATCTAATTTGTTTTTAAATACTCCATATCTTGATCAGTATTCTTAACTTCAGTTTTTGAATCTTCATTTTGGTATAGAAATTAATAACAAATCATTATAAACTTTTCTTTTTTGATATTTTTACTATTCAAACTTCCGTAATGTTTTGTTAATAATTTGGCAAGTAAATACCTAACCACAAATTACAGAACAATTAAGCATCTGATCCTAATGTTTCCATTGTAAATGGTTATTCTTTATACGTTTATCGAGAATTTTAATATTTTATAAGTGACATTTACATACTTCGTGTTACATAAGCCTTACACAAATTTTTTACATATCAACAAATCATATTTGTGTAGAATTGTGATATCTATAATAAATAAAAACATACCCTATATTAAATATGTTATTTGTTTAGAAAGATTGTTTACTCTTATGTTAGTACAAAAACATTACGTCATTAATTTTATTTTAAAAGCTGTATAAGTGTTACCCGCATTTAATTTAATAACTCGTTAATATTCAACAGAAGGTTCATTAATATATATTCACGGCACTTAATAATACGTATTGTATACCTGAGACTTCAAAGAGTTAATATAAATGTAAAAATTACTTGCCTATATATTCCTTCAAAGAAAAAATAATAATAGATCTAATTCACTTATTGTACCAAACACAGGCATACGATATTTCTTAATTTAAACATTTCGTATTTGTGTAATTTGTGATACAAATTTATGTTCAATCTCTTTTCTCAATGTTTAGTTGAATCTTCTGGTACGTGTATTTAAAACCTTATAAAAATTTAATCTACAAAAAAAGTGTTTTCAGTAGAAAGTTTGCGTCACATTTCAATAACGTCTCCCCTGATTAGAGTAAACGTATATGTAAGGTAGTTGGTATGACACATAACCTAGAAATATTTAACTTTCAAATCGAATTGTTGAAAACGTTTTGTTGTGATTATTGTATAAAGTATAGTGAACAACTGCAAGTATTATCAATATTATTGTAATCTTTTGTAATTTGTTATTTATTTTAAAACCTTTTCTCTTGATTAACAAATAAAAAAAAATACTTATTTCATAATTTTGTGTATAGAGTAACTCATAAACAATTTAAATCAGTATGTATTAAATTGTACACTTGAAAAAGATATGTTTCTAACAAAATAATTGTAAATATAGTGTAAATACGTGTACAAATGTATTATTATTTTTCTCAAAATTTAAATGTGGTGTTTCTATAAATACTAACCTTGAAAACATTCAAAGAAATTAATGAGAGAAAAAATGGAATGATTGAAATAAATGTAAATTTTAAAAGGTAACCCAATGATTTTTATTGTATTAATATGAGTGTTAGTCAATAATAATATATAATTATTTAATACTATTACTTATTAACTTATTTCATTGTATTTATAGGATGTTTGTGCAATATAATTTGTTCAAAGATTATTATTTGAGTAAAGTATTTTTTAATAGAAAATAATAAAGATAATCTAAAAAATATATGAGGAAAGCTTGGAGAGGGTTGTTTAAGTGCCATGTGAAGGATTTTTCTATTATTTAAAGTTAGTATTATTTGTTAATTTATTGTGTAGAATTATATGTTAAATTATATTATAGTTTGTAAACATTCCTGAATTCTAATGATTAGATAACCATGGATGAAAGGAGAGTAGCAGATTACTTTGTCATTGCTGGCTTACCAGGACAAGACAATGATTTTGCCAGTGATAATGAAAATGATGAAAAGTTAGAAGATTGGTATCAAGAAGGAACACACGTCAAAGATGTGCACATGAAACCTCCAATTACCGATCTTGCCATTATATTTCCAGCATTGGGTGAACAATGTCCTGAAGGATATACTGTGTTAGAACACACTGTGTCAGGTCTGCCTGCTGATTTAAATCATGGAAGTTTAAGAACAAATGAATGTTACTTATGTTATCGAAGAGGAAGAGACAAACCTCCTTTAGTTGATATAGGTAAAATAAGCCTGAACGGTCATGTATAAGATTTAAATATTCCTCCCTATAATGTAATTTCATATAATCAATTATAAAACATTGAGCATTGTGTTCTAAAGTTAAGAAATAAATAATACTATAAATATTTTTTATAACAAGGTATGCATTTAATAACAAGTGACAATTTCAGGTGTAATATATGATGGCAAAGAACGTATAATGCAGGATGCGGAAATGGTATTGGAAACTCCGAAAGGGCATCTAGCGAACGTGAATAATTCGTCGTCAAAAATATTCGTGACATACAGACGCGCAAGTCATAAAATGGCATGCAATTCATTAGTGGTGACAGACATATGTGTCATCTTAACAAATAAAGGAGAAACGCCCCCACATGCATTTTGTGTTATTAATAAAAATTTGAATAAAGGCATGGTGGGCAGCGACGTATATTTGTGTTATAAGAAATCCATGAATCGAGCAAATTTAATATCATTTAAGCCTGCTATATTGTTCAAATATCCGACATCTGATTATAGCAGTTTTGTCTTCCCAAATTCTGTCGCAATGTTTTGTTTACCGATGGGAGCAACGATTGAATGCTGGCCGAAAGTTGCATGCAAACCTAAGCCAGTGTTTTCAACATTTGTTTTAACAGTGGCAGATGCAGCTCAAAAGATATACGGTTCGGCAATAACGTTTTATGAAGAACTTGAATTAGAAATAGATATTTCAAATTTTAAAGAAAACGAACCACTTACTGATGTACTCATGGAGAACATGAAGAATTCTGGTATGAACATACATATAGTAAACTCTCGCTATATTGCCGATTGAACGAGTTCCTCTCCACACGCGGGACTTTCACAGTCGAGTATTAAATTATTAAAAATTTCTTTCTTGTTCCAGTTGAACACACAGATATTGACTATCAGGAGTTGAAAACAAGAATACACAAACAACCTGGAATATTTAAGAAACTTACTCCTGCACAGTTGGAAAAGTTACAATTCACAAATCCTGCCACTCAATCATTGAATATAAGTAAATCTATATGCATCCTGTCTCATTGGCCATTTTTTGACGCATTTGAAAAGTTTTTAGTGTTTTTACATAGCATGTGTAATAACAAACTGCAGAACGTTCCTATTGAGAAATATATAGCATATTTTTTGTACGACATACCATTTCCGAGCCCACAAAGACCAAGAATTTTCGTACAGTTAAGTGCTAATGATAGATTGGTTTTGACTCAGCCAGAAGATTTGGCGCTACCTAGGTCTGGTGCCAGTTTTCGACAATTACTCATCAATTTAGGACCTGACAATTGTTTACTTATATTATTGTTAATCCTTACTGAACAGAAAATACTTGTACATTCATTGCGTCCTGATGTACTTACATCAGTAAGCGAAGCAATCGCTATGATACTATTCCCATTTAAGTGGCAATGTCCATATATACCTTTGTGCCCATTAGGTTTAGCTGAGGTAATATATTTTTATACCTCGCCAATTGATAAACAACAGATACAGTATAACACATTCTATGTTTTGTATTTTAGGTTCTGCATGCACCATTACCGTTTTTAATAGGCGTTGATTCTAGATTTTTTGATTTATACGATCCTCCCTCTGACGTTAATTGTGTAAATTTAGACACAAACAATATTGCAATTTGTGACGACAAGAAATATTTAAATGTGAAATTATTGCCTAAAAAAGCAGCCAGGCAACTTAGAAACTGTCTGGATCATCTTTATTCGGAATTGATTTCTTTGGGAAAGAGATATTCATCTATGAAAGGTAATTTGCTATTGTTATTGTTGTTTTTCTTTTCGATGATCGTTTGATTTAATTTTTAGATACAGATGACGAGGAATTCAGTGTTGACAAAGACTTTCAGCTAAAACGAAAAGAACAAGCTATAGAACTCGAGATTCAGGATGCTTTTTTAAGATTCACTGCTACGGTATTAAAAGGATATCGTGCTTTTTTATTGCCGATTACAAAAGCTCCAACTGTTGGTTCTACTGATCCAACCAGTTTATTTAACATACAAGCGTTTCTCAGAAGCCGAGATAAGGCTCATGCAAAATTTTATAGTATGTTAGTGAAGACTCAGATGTTTATAAGGTATATTGTCTTATTACATGAGAAAATTTTTATATCGTTCATTTTTCATTTGCAATATTTGATTCAGGTTTATAGAAGAGACAAGCTTTGTATCCGATATGGATATGGCTGGTTTAGCGTTTTTTGACGAATGTACAGAGCGCATCGAGGAAGAAAATAGTAAGAAAATAGAAAATAGTAACCATTTTAAAATATATGGTTGCTAGAATAGACTAATAAACATTAATAATACTGCTCAATATATTCTATAGTGCCTCTTTTGGAGTTGGATGAATCTCAACATAGTGAACGAACCGTATATATACCTCCACCGGAAGCTGGTCCGAATCAATTGCCGATAACATATCGCACGTTTAAATTAAATCCCGAACTAATAAGACCACTGAAAAATTTCAACATAAAAAATCCGAACTTAAGTGCCTTCGGAATAATACCAGGAAGTCCTATGGCGCGCAGAACCAAGCATGAAATTAAAGTGGCGCAAAGGATGGCGCGTAAACAGGTAATCAAAGTACTTTTTAAAATTAATTTTCATTTGTTAATCTTGAATAGTGTGGAGATCGTTGGTGATTACCATTTACAGTACTCATTGAAGGTTCAGTTGGGTGCCTGTAATGGAGGTGATAAGGTACTGTATTTGGTAAATATGTTTAAAATACTTATCTCGTGCTTTTAGGCAGCAATGCCAGATAGGTGGGGCAGATGTCTACTCGGCACTTGTTATAGCCTTTGGTTCCTGCATTTACCAGCTATGTTACAAGTTTCCAATCAGCCGGCTACAATTTTACATCAAGCTTACGATCTATTAGTTAAAATGCCAAAATTACACCTTGATCCTATCGAAGAAGTAAATTTTTTTATTCTTACATATTTAAATAACTGTTTAATCATTAAACTTTGTTAACGAATCTTACCGTATAAGGTATCAATTTTAGGTTTGCTATAGAGCTATGATGCAACTGTGCGGTGTTTATGGACAGCCTGTTCTAGCAGTAAAATTATTATTTCATATGAAACGTAGTGGAGTTCAACCAAATGCTCTTACTTATGGATTTTATAACAAGGTTCAATTTTTTTTCTCTTTACAAAAATTTCGATTTTATCCTATCCGGAATATCATTCTTTTTATTATTATAGGCTGTACTGGAAGCAACTTGGCCATCTGATATGACAAATTCCAGTCAGTTGATGTGGAATAAATTGCGAAACGCTATTGTTGGAGCAGCTTTATTTAAACGTGCCGGTAAAAGAAGTGCAAGAAGAAGACTAAGTTCAAATGCAGAATTATTAGCTGTAGATGGCAAAACTGCAAGTATGGAACATGCATTTTCTAGGTCTAGTCTTGATAGTTCTCATTCTCAAGACACCGAGGCCGCGCATAGTGATTGTAAGTATTGTTTTAAGTTATTTCAATATCCTTTTTTTTTTCTTTAGAGGTAGATTTTTATTTTATTATTTTACTTTAATCGATGATAGCTACTAAAGGCAGTTCCGTCTCAGATTTGCCAGACTATGGACCATTTGAAATAAAGAAGCTCCCTCGTCAGAATAGTATCGTTAAGGATTCAGCGTTAAATGTTATACAAACAGAAGAATTGGATAATATACAATTGAATCAAAGGTAATTATATAAAAAAAGATTATTTGAATATCGTGTTGCTTATATTCCTTTCTTTTCTAGAATGATTCGGAATATGGAATCACCGCTAAAAAGTCCGGTTCGTACACCAGTTACAGAAAATGACCCATTGGGTGCTTTAATGAACGACGAAACACCAGTTGTTTCACCTTCCGAAGAGAATGATTCAAATTGTTCAACGTGTACTTTAACTATCTTCAACAACGTTGAGGAACGACCAGGGGGTCCCCTTTTATTTCGAAGGTATATTTTTAATTTTTATTACTTGTGTTTTTAATCAATTTAATTCCTTTCATATTTTTCACAATATATCATAACTTTGCAGTAGTATTTTACCACGTAGTGCGACGTTTCATCAAACAGTAGATGAAGCTGGTGTAGCAATAGGTGGTCAGTTGCAGAGGAGTGAAACAATGCCGCATTCCGTAGCACAGCAAGGTGAACAAGACAAGGAACGGGAAAGATTAGAAATAAGTAGCATTTGGTCCCAGAAAGATAGTGTTACTTCGAGTCTTTCAAGTCTGGGTTCAAGTCTGAAACTGAGTTTTGGGTAAGACAAGTTTATTTATTAAGCTACAGAAGCTGGCCAACTTCGGACAAAAGTCTTATTAAAGATGTTTGTTACAGTTCCACAAGTATAACGGGAAAGAAATCTAATGAAATAATACTCGGTGGTTTAAGTAGTCTAAAGTCTGCTGCTACAACTGTGGTAAAAAAGTTTGACGAAATTAAAGAGGCAATTTCTGCGACAAGCACACCTGTAAAACTTAAGGAACGGGAATATAAAATAATGCACGGGGCATCACACGAATCTTTAGATTCCATGACCGATGGATCTATACAGGATAGAAATGAACCTCTTAGAATGTCTGGTTCGTAAAGTTACAAATGTTACTTTTTACGTATACTTTATGTGTTTCTAAACGAAATATTATTTTATTGAAACAGGAGATGGAAATTTAGATTCTTATACATTATATGATTTGGCGGAGAGTTTATATCCAAAAGGTTCTAGAGAACTAGATGAACGAATTGCTATTGAACTCGTATTATCTAGTGCAAGTAGATGTCATCAATGTGCATCTATACTTTACGACGAGGAAATAATGGCTGGTTGGCAACCGGAGGACTCAAATTTAAATACGGTTTGTCAGTACTGCGATAAAGCAACAGTACCTCTACTTACTATAACGATATTGGATTACAGGTACGTAAAATCTATCATATTATGTATTTGATATTATACATGTTATATTATTTATATTTCTAAAGATGTGAAGAAAATGAAAAGAAAAATGATCCTCTAATGGGAGCGTTAGTTGAACTTTTGGATAAACCAAAAGAATTATTAGAACCCATCACAGTACCCTACTTGAATCCTCTAGTTTTAAGGAAGGAGCTAGAAAGTGTTTTAAGTCAAGAAGGTGACACGTGTCTTACAAAGCATAAATTTATCGACGAACATCCAATAGTATACTGGAATCTTATATGGTATTTCGAAAGAATTAATTTATCGAGTCACCTTCCGGATTTGTGGTTGGGTAATGATAAAAAGAAGGAACAGATTAATTATAACGCGGTGGGTGTGAAAACTATGTGGGATAACGAAAGACTTCACATGGATCGCTTGCCTATGTACCTCCAGTGGAAGTTGAATAATGTAGATAAAAGGTAAATTAAAGTATCATTCCTACCCCATGATTCATTTTATTCTTTGAGCAAAAATATATAAACAGTATATATATTTTTTTCTTTCAGTTTAATGCAGTCAGTGATTACCTACGTTCGCCGAAATGATTTAGCGGAACCTATAAAAAGAGTGGCCTTAGAAAGAAGTAAAAATCCAGCTGATCAATCTCTATTTTCTATATATCGGGATATCTTGTTTTTGGCATTTACCGTTTTGGGTAGAGGAAATATTGATCAAGGTAGGTTCTTAACTATCGAATGACAGTGAATCAGGTTAATTATCCCTTTTTTCATCATTCGTATGTTGCAGGTGTATTCGACAAAGAATATTCGCTATCGTTAGAGAGATTAACGGAAAAAGAAGAGAAGCTGTTATGTAAAATCGATGCTCCGCCCTCAACGATGTCAGTGTTCTGTAGACACTATTTTAAGCAATTAAGTGTATAAAATTCAAATTGATGACAATGATGTAACATATTGTAAGAATGAATAGTACATTCGTAAGAAGTATCGCAGATTTATTTGTGTAAGTCTGAGTTGTAATTGTAAAAGTCAAAATTAGTGGTGAATAACACTTTTTAGGTACATGTTGAATAGTTATTATTTTTGAATGAAAGCCACTGAATTTTTCAGATATTGATCTTTCTTTTCCGTCAAGAAGAAATCGGAGAAATGAAATTTTTAATGATGTTGACAAATGTTATGTATTTCATTATGAAATGTACTTTCTTTCATATTTAAAGTATGCTATTACTATCAACACGTTTTTTATTTAGAAACTAAGTTGCGTACATATTTAGTTTATTATAATGTGAATATTCATAGTGGTACATATATATGCGATAATGAAAATCGTTCAGTACCAAAGAACCTGATTTCATTGAGAAACTATAAATTCAATTGTTGCTGCACGGTGACAAGAAATACATCATTTTTAACGTATGGATTATATCGTCATATTTCTGCTAATGTTTTCATCGTCACATATTGATTGCATGACTATAATTGAGTTTTAAAGGAAAGAACGTATAGCGGAATCTATTGTCCAAGCTGAAGTCCATTTACATAATACCTTACAGAAGATATTGTTCATTTTCTTATACCCATAAGCGGAACAATCGAAAAATGCACGACCAGTAATTAAATTATGATCTTACATGTTCACAATGAAAAGTGCTATTTATATTTATGGCATCGATTTTCATTTGCTATATGAAATTTTTCATGCTTTGCAAGTGTTGCATTGTATTTGTAAATTAAGAAATTTCACTAATGTTCAAAATATAATAGAATTATTTGCAATTAAAAGTGGATATTTAATTTGATCTCATCCGTGTCTGCCACCTATAGATAATAATTTTATTTTACAAAGAATTCTCGATCATTTAAATATTTAACAATTTTTTACCATTTTCATATATTTATAATGTTTATTTGAAAAATATGAAAAATTTACTAATTAATAGAATGTTTGTTATAATTTAATTATATATAATGCATCCAGTTTTAATTGCAAATAAGTGCAATAAAATAAATATTAGCTTTTTTTACTAAATATTGCTTTTCAAAAATAAAACTACAATAATAGAATGTATTATGTACCTGATATCTATAAAATCGTTTCTTTGCTTAGGATAGATTGAACAGTCTCGAGTAGACTTCCCTGGAGAAAATATCATTACAGGGGGTGCAGAAATTCTTAAAATCTTAATTTTAACGATATTAATATTAAAAGTGATTTAAAAAAAGTGATCTATTATATGTGAGACCCTTTCCCATCATCATTCTCCTTGGGGCCACCTAAAGGGTAGTACGGAAATACTTGTGAAGAAGAGCTGAGGACTTGAAAACCTATGGGAGATGGTATCCCCGTTTTTCTTTAAAAAAGTCTATCCATGCTCGATACTGTACAATACATTGATCCTTAAAAATTTAATGTATAATTCAACGATGCTATGCACTTTTCAGTATGAACTTTGTACAATATTAATATTGTATATTCGTTCATTATTAAATTATAAATGTAAAACATAAATAAAAGTCAGTTATGGTATTTTACATAAATGAGTTTTTTATCAGCATAAAATGTGCAGGGTAACCACTAATTTTATCTCACTTTGGGACTTAGGACTTTTCCCTCTTTAACAGAAAGTGGTACTTGGGGTCTACAGACGACAGGTGCCTCAAGAGGCGGGGATTTCGTGCATCTTTCCCACCTTATCAAAAAGCACTATGGAGTGGTAGGCAAAGGAAAAAATACCTGCCTTCCTCCCTTAGAACGACCGGTCATCATCTTTTCTAATAGGGTGGTACTTGCCCATACCACAGTAAGGGTTGAAAATGGGAACCCCTTTGGGTTTCGCAGTGGTGTTTTGGGCCACCATGCGTTTTATTGCTCTGATTATACTATACCAATAGAAATATTTAAAGAAACATTAATATTTTTAAAAAATGACATAGGGAAGAAGAATTTTCTATCAGCATATTTTCTTCGTTAAACAGTACAACCCATTCTATCTAAAGAAACATTTATAAACAATCAGTAATCACAAATATAATTATTAACAATTATCTGACAAGTTTGAACTTAAATATAGAAATATAATAATGAACGTAATTAAGAGCTAACAACAAAAGAATTAGAAATAAATAAAATATGAAGAAAAATTATTTTAGTAGATAGTAATTGTACCTAGTGTCAATCTAAACTTCGGAAAGAGGGCCATATATTTTCATCGAGCGTGCTGGAAGCACTATCCGCGGGAGCAGAAACAACAGGGTATATTATGGAATACTATCCGCAATAGGTTCCACAATCGCGGCAGCCATTGTTTCGTGGTACCTACAGATGTGCTCCATTGTCGATCTATCGGTACTCTTGCTCGAAAAGGAGTAAGAGAAAGAAGAAAAGAGAGACGTTTACGAAAGGAACGTATCAATTCTTTGTCGTATCAGTATATCTATAGGCGTATCTAACGGGTGATTAATCTTCAAATCATCATTTCTTATTATTTATAATAAATTAAAAATACAGGGTGTACCATTTAAATGGGAATACCTAAATATCTCTGTTATTTATGATTTTATGGAAATAAATAATCAGGACAAAGTTTAAATACTTATTTCAAGGAGCAGTATGTAGCAGTAAAATTATTAATTTTTTTCCAGATCACTTTGTCTTCAGGACTTTCCCATAATAAAAATGATCCATTCTGTAAGGGAAGTATAGAAGAATCGAAGAGATGATGATTAAATGGAATGTTTCGTGAAAAATCACCCAGTAGATAGTGGGAATACCTCTCAAGGATAAAGTCACGCAATAAGAGGGTGAGTAGTGGCGGTAACGGTGATAATAGTTGTAGTTGGTTTGATGCCAACGGGTAGGTTGGCGTAGGTTGGGGTAGATATTCCGTTTGTATAATGTACCTACTCACTCGTATCGGACTGTCTCTCTGTGATGTGAACGCAGCCTCAGGCTTATTATGTATCTCAAACTCTGAATACTACTGACTCTGTCGAAATTATGATTACTTGTCAGTTCAGAGTTTCGGGAGAAGACAAATTTTTTTCCCCTCCTGTTTCTTTTTTTTTGTTTTCACCTACCACAGATAGTCAAATAGAATTTTTAATTATTTCAATCAACGAATTCATTCAAATTTGGATGAAAAGTAGAATTGGTACAACAGGTACCTTTTTGGGGGGAAGAATCATTTTTTCTTCTTCTTCTTCTTCTTTTTTTTTCGTCAAATGAAAAGAAGGATCGCAAAACCTGATCAAAAAATCAATTTCTCGAGGATGACGAATCCCCGCATCGATAGGCGTTGAAGATGAGAAACAAAAGGCATTGTGTTCGTTTTATCCGCTCGAGTGATCTACCAAAGAGAAACGAGAAGGTGCTGGTACGATAGCGGTAGTGAAAATCGAGGAACGATATTCATCGGTGGCTCTGAACGAAGTCTTCCTCGGTTGAAAGTCGACCGATGGAAAATCGTGAAAATGATATGCTGGACAATGGGTATTGTTCGAACTGATCGCCGCGTCTGGCCTCCTACCATAGTTGCTTTTCGTCTCTAGATGCTTAGAATTGGTAGCTTCGTTGGGAAACTGAGATTCACGAGTCGTTCTTCCAGAAAACAAGAGTCCAATAGGAATTTTCCTTGTTCTTCTTACTCCCTTTTCTACTTCTCTTTCTTCCCGTTATATTCGCTTCAATTAATTATCTTTTATTCACTCAGAACTATAAAAATTATTTTTCAACAAAAATTCATTTTCGAATAATTATTAATTCATAATTACTAATCCTTCATCCCCTAATTCATAGATTTTAACCCCATTGAACTATTAATTTCCTTTTCTTTTTTTTCTTTTGACAAGTTACATCTATTATTTGTTAGTTAATTTTATTATTCTCGTTAGCATTACACAAATAGGAGGTCGCGGTATGTATACCCTAAGAGAATGGTTAAACGAACATTAACGAAGCCATAAATGGAACAACGTGGTGTGCAGAGGCTTGATTAAAATATTAATTGAGATGGAAATAATGATTCGTTGCGGTTCGATGATTACATCGCCCTACTGTACTTCGCATCTTTGATTTTTTGATATATGCCACTGAATAGATTCTCAACCCTGATCAATCCAACTAGTGAGTCGTTGAATACGAACCGTCGTTATTCGTTTATTTCCTATAAATGGTATCTAATAAGCTGGCACACAAAGGAACACAATAAAATATGATATTTTCAAGATACATATTCCAATACAGAATCCAATATCTACAAAACTTTTTGGTTTAATATAATATTTTTCGTACCAATTTCTTAATTTCTCACCATAAATGCTCGTAGGGGTTCACATCTGGTAATTGAGGGTGTAGCTAACGTATGGGGTGTATGTACAGAAATCACTAAACCATTACATGGTCTATATGCTTTGGATCATGGTACGATTGTGAATAAAATAGTTATGTAAATACTTAGAAAAATTCGGTACAAAATTTCCTTGCTGATGTGGAGAAAGAAATTGTATTATTGGGTCACGTTTGACCCATTCAATTAAAAAAAAAAAAATGTGGTTTCAATTCTAAGTACGTTACTATTTTTGTTTCAACAATAATAATAAAAGTGATGTAGTATTGTATATTTATTTATAGTGATTTTCTATTAGATTGACTGAGTAATTACTCGTAACGCTTTATTCTTAATCGGAATATAACAGGACATTCGAAAACACGATCTGAATGGTAATCTTCTCACGTAATCTATGATCTATTGTGAGAGAGGACAGAGGGATTGGTGGTGAAGGGTAAACAATTGAAAAGGGAGTCGTTTACTAGGGGGCTGTTGAAAACTCAGGGGAACAGTTGGGCGTCCATTAAAATCATCTTCTATGAAAACTAATCGCGTAGGCCGCACATGCTTTGTTGACTTACAGGGTGCGTCATTACTTAACGATATTACATTTCATCATTTCTCTTAATTTGTTTATAATTTTGTTTTATAACAAAACAATTTGCATTATATTGGATAATTTAACTTTGATTTTTATATTCTATATAATTTTCATTTTCTATCTTTCACCCCTTTTTTTTATTTATAATTATTATATGAGCAATAAGAAATAAATGCAAAAATTTATGTTATAAAGCTTTAAATCCTGAAAATATTTCAGGCAAAAAGTCAGCTAAAGTAATTTGGAGATTAAAATAGAAAGAGAGATGATGCACCCTGTGTAAGAGGATGATTAAAAGAACTAATCGACATGTCGTCCCGACAGCAACCGTCTGTGATTGTTCCCTGTATGCATTCATGGTTGGTTGCTTTTATGAGATAAGATCGTAAAATAATCATGTTTAGTAATCTACCTTTGTTACTTAACCTGTTCGAGTTAAGTTACATATGTAATGAAATGTACATACGTCGACATCATAACACCTCGGGTATCACAGAAATAAAAATAATCATACCAAATCAAACACTGGATAAAATGAATTATTGAAAATATTAACAATTCATTTTATTAATGTAACTTAAAACTACTAAAGTGTCATCATTTCTTAATTACTTCTCTAAATGAAATTAATAGTGTTAATAAATTCTG